GTGCACACCTGGTGAATCCAAAAGGTCCAGAGAAGGCTCAAACCCATTGTCCATTCACTGTATCATCACTCAAGAGATACACAGACTATACCTCCCATATACAGTGGGTCTGGCCCCACAGCAGCAGCAGGATTTAGCCTACAGCTCTCCCCTCAAGTGAATTATGTAGGTTGCCCTTCTGGAACAGCTAGAACCAAAGATTATATGAAGGAGGGCTGAAAAATAAGTTTCAAAAAGAGATAATTGGGAATACGAAAATTAAAATGAAGAGGTGGAAGGTTATATGGATTATCCAACAGTGAGATCATTTTGGAGGCATTCATATGCAGTGGAATTTAATTCTGGCAGAAACCACCCATATGTATCATCACAATGTTGCACCACTGGATGTGCCAATACAAAAATGGAATTCTGGTATTACAGATTATCTTTGAACTCAGAAGCCTGACACTCAGTACTGGGTTTTGATATGTTTATGTGCAAGCCTAGGACACAACTGTCTGCATGATAAGATAACTTTGATTAAATGAACTGCTATAATTGTTACATTCTTATGGGCTGTTTTCACTCTCAGCAAGAATCAGTCAAATTTGCCATGACATATCTGGTGACTGAAAATCCTTGTCACTCTATTACACCAGATAAAGGATACCTTTTAAATTTCCTGTTGAACTTGTCACTTATGTGTCATTAAACATAAGAAAAATATTTCACAAAAAACCCAAATTAATTTTGCGCTTCTTTTTCCAGACACAACAAAAAATGAAGTTAAATAATTTAGTTCAAACTGGCTCTTCTTCACAAGAACATTTTTTAAAGGTTAATGCATTGTGCATTTTGAAAAATAGTTCCCAGAAAGATGTTTTATAAACCATGGGGACAGTAACATATAAACCACATGTCATTTCAATCCTTTTGTGATATTTTGATATGCCAGCTTCATTGCATGCTCAAAACCCACAACTTCCAGGAGACTTTTCCCTTTCTTACAGTTTTTGCCCTGCCACCCTACAGCTACCAAAGGCAGGAAGGGAGAGGGCAGCACAAAAGTTTAAAGTTTGGCTGTTGCAATATAATAACTGTGATACATTGAAATAACTCCACATTGTTTTAACTGTTTGACACTAGTAAATGAAAACACATGCTCAGCTTAGTAAGATGTATTACGTAACATAGCACAGCCAGCAAACTTAGCTAGGAATAAAATTAGTCTACTCCTTTTCTCAAATGTCAAAGTTTGGGAGTCTACTGTAAATACAGCATTCACCCTAAAAGAGATGTCAGTTATAATTACTTTAAGTACAAATATTAGCTAGCAGCTATCTACAATATCAGACCAAACATATTCAGGACTTCCAAACAAAGAAACAAATCCTCAGTGCAAAACAATTATTTTTCCCACTTAAGCCCACTGCTAACAACTGTAGATACAAGGAAGTTTTGGATCTGGTTTTCCCTACAGGAGTTTGTAAATCAGGCTTTTTCACATGGTCCCCTAAGACATGTCAAGTCCATATTCTTTTTCCCTAAGAGGACAGCAACCAGGAGAAAGCCAAATTAGGGTTTCCTGAGCCCTTCCTGGACAGCAGAGTAGGATAGGTCTGAGTCCTGGAAAGAAGAACCAGGATGGACCTGAATTCCACTGTACCTGATGACTAATTCAAATAGTAGGAAAACCACAGTGGTCAGAAATATGTCAAAAAATCCCCTGAAAAAAACCCCAGAAAAAACACTGAGACTCTTTCTTTAAATAACTTCCTAAAACTGAAATTTTATAAGAAGGGATCAACCCCAAATTCTTTTCAGATCTTACAAAGTAAAACAGAACCTGAAGATAGACAAAAGCTATCAGAAACAGAGATTTTAGTGAAAGGCACATGGAAATGTGGTTTCTGTGTTGTAACTGGAAAGTCAAGTGACAAAATCAAAAACATGAAATGCTGTTTCACCAAACACTAAGAACTTATTCTTCAGTTGTTCCTACAACAATTGTATCAGTTCCAACTGGAAAGATGACAATGAAACACGGTTTGTAGGGCAGTACAATCATGGAGATTACGTCCTGTAACTTGTTTGTTCTGGATTCTGTGACTTTGTTTTCTCATCTCTGTCTCAGATCTGGGATGATCTGCTTACCAATTCATTCTCTAAAGACAAGTCTTTTTGTCTGTACTTAATTCCTGTCTAGAGAGACAACACCCAGCTCTTTAAGAATGGAATTTTTCTATTATGCAGAACCATAAAAATTAGGGCATGTTTCCATCCATCAATAAAGCACAACAGTGTTGAACTTTAGAATCATGTATGTTGGGTGGCACTGGCAGAATGGCATAATGAGAGAGACAAAAATAGAAAAATTCTAATTAGAAGAAAACTTCAGAGGCTAGACAAAGTTGAACAGACAGCCACTGAAATACTGGATGAAATGTCATCTGTAATGGTACCACCATCTCTGACTCTGATGTTCTGTGATCCCTCACTCAGTATCCAAAGGCATTGACTGCAGAATTTTTCTTAGCAGCTGATCCCCCAGATGAAACACATACATAACTGCAAAAAAACCACTGCCTTCATACTAAAACACACTACCCACCAGCCTTCCTTTCCCAATTGTCTTTACTTATCATTATTATTCCTCCAACAATACCTTAATCTTTGGTGTCAAAACAATGAAAGAATTCATTAATAAAAAAACATTTTTGAGAACAACAATAATATTTTCTTTTTCATCCCAGTAAAACACACACGTATGGAGGTGAAAGTACAAAAATACATGGGAAAAGGGAGCAATTTGTGTTCCAGCCTCCTGACCAGCACATTTGCACATGTCTCTCAAACAGCTCTGGAAGTCACTGTACTGGCTCTGTTCCTTTGCAGCTGCAGGAGGCAAGATGTTCCTTCCACCTTGTACCAGTGCAAGGAAATCCCAGTCCATGAGACATGGGGTCAATGTGTTTAACCTCTGAGAGAGAAGATTTGAGCACTAGAATTGCAAAGTGCTGGTAAGAAGGGCAAGATTTACTCTGATAACCTGTTCCCACAAGTACCTGCACCACCAGAAAGCGAGTTTGGCTAGATTGCTCTCCTTCAAGTTATGAACTTGATTTCGCTGTTCCCCAGAGAGCAAGAATGACTCTGAAACCTCAGTTACATACTTTGGGACTTACAGAGCACAGGAGTTCACTGGAATTTAAGCTTGCAGAGCAAGGCAGAGAAGCTCTCTTAAAACAGAATATTACTAGTACATATTTTCATTTTTAAAACACTTTAAAATTCACATATTCTCTTTGCTTATGATAAAAAGTCTGTAGTCCCTATCAAACAAGACAATGCTGTAGAAGACAATCCTTTGAACATTTCTGGATAGCAGCTAAGTACAAATACACTTGCTTTTTCAATGCATTATTTGAAAATAGTAACTGGAGAGGCAACTACAAACAAAAGAATAAGACTGCAATGGGAGGATCTTAAAAACGTTATTTCACTGAAAAGAAATGAAGTTTCCACCTGCAGTTTTATGCACTTGGCAAACAGAACTTCACTTCTGCAATGTTATTTTAGGACAGAAAAAATGCATGCCAGAGTTAATCTTGCAGTGGATTAGAAGCTTTGTCTGAATTTCACAGTTAGCATAAACTTAGAGCCACTATTCTACAGTAGTGAGCAGAAAGACCAGTGAAATAATTTAAAAAGACAAGCACTGGAAAAGTTCCTTCCCTCAGTCTAGGCAACACATACAAGATTCCTGTCTGGTCAACATAATCCTCTCTTAAGTCCTTTTTTGACAAAACTAAATTCTTAGAGTTAGCTTGACTTGAACTGCATATCTGTTACTTGCAGACTACACACTGTTCTACTATTACCAGTATGCAAAAAAACTCCACATTGGCTCCAGAACATGAGATTAAAATAAAGATAATTTCAAAAGAACATCATCATAGGAAAGAAAGAAAAATAATGAAATTCTGGAAAAAGAAAAAGTATCTTAAAGAGGGGTGGGGATCAAAAATCATCTCAACAACCCAAAATACCTTTAGATTTCCCTTCTATGAAAGAGAATCTCCTAGGAAGCCCTCAAAGTGCTTATTTGTTAATAAACACTCTCATAACTAAATCACAGGTTCCTCTAAATGTCGGTGGCTGCAGGAGAATGCAGATGTGAAATGCATTACAAAGCACGCTGGACTCAGGCAAGCACTGCCACAAAGTGAGAGCAATACGTCCAGCACAGAAAGAGTTGTGAAATTGCTGCCTTAATGCCAAGGCACTACAAAGTGTTTTACCATCCAGATAGAGAAATATTCTTTTAATTTTATGCTATGACTGCTCTTCCTGCAGTAAGCAATAAAATACTATTAAAATGCCAATGTTACATGTGTCATATAACCGTGGAGAAGAAGAGATCACTGCCAGCTTTGCAAATCTACTGTACTTCCAGACTCTGGGAGAAAGGAATGGTTAAACAAATATTCACACAGGTTTGGAGTGTTTTTTCCTACTAGTATAAATTTTAATCAATCCTATTTCTCTCCCTCAAAATGCATGCAACCTGACCAACACTAGTCAATTCCTACTGAATTGTTAGGAGAGATATAAAGGGAAAGTATACAAGTTCTTTCAAAGACAGAACTGAAATCTTCCACCAGCAACACAGGGTGCCTCCAAGTCACATTGTCTTTAGGATATTAAACCACAGACCTACACACTGCTGTCCAAATCACTATAAAACCATTAAACACAGTAACTTTGTCATGATAATTCTCATTAGAGTCACAAGATACCATGAAAACTTTTGAGTTTATTTTATTCAAGAGCTTTAAGGGTGCTGTTATACCTGGATTTGCCCTTTTCCCTGACCTCCTTTCATCTTGTCTAATACCCTTAATCATTTCTAACATCTTGAAAGCAAATTTCCATAACAAAACACAGGCTTTAAAAACCCCGAAATCCCACAACAGAAAAACAAACAAACCCCCAGAAAGTCGTTCATAGCTACTTGCCTCTTGGCAATTTCTGAGTATTTCCCAGGTTTAGTGCAATATATCCACAGAAAAGAAGACAGACAAATCTTGACATCATGGTCACAAACCCAACCTCGCACTGGGAATGGCTCTGACAGGTATCACACAGAAGTACTGCAGCTGCATTTAAGGGAACCGTTCTCTCTGTGACAAGAGGCAGCAACACTTTGACACGAGCTTAGTTTACACTGTGGGAGGAGACAGGATGACATCATTCACTCCCACTGCAAAACCAGAATTAGCATAAAAAAATATTATCAGGCTCCCCTGGCGATAATCTTCTGGGGTTTGTTACAAGATCTTTTCCACCACTAAGGGTAAGACATTACCATTTTATTTCTTATATATCATGAAAATAAAATCATGAATATCAAACTTTCTATTAATGGAAAACTGATCTGAGAGACATTTTCACTGTTTTATCCAAGAGAGCTGGACTTAAACTGCAAAAACAGCATTTGCAGTACTCAGAGAACTGTTTGCTATATTGACCTCAGTATTTTTGCAATCTCAACATTTTTCTTAAGGTTAATTCAGGCTACTTGTGGCTTTTGTCCAGGCAAAATAAATACTAGTTTAATTTGACATGACATTATAAACAGACATTGTAAATATTTATTCAGCAAAAGAACTGGACTTGACAAATCTAAATGTCATTTTTTAACTTGTATCTAGTGTTGGCAATTTAAAAATACTTCATAATTTTCCCTTTCATAAGTGTCTGGTGAGTTAATAGGTACAAAGCACATTGAAAGGAATAGAGCAACAGTTCTCATTCCAGGATGATCTTCTCACCAGTTACATAACTTCAGATGGAAAAGAAGTTCCATTTTTCCATTAAAAGCTGTTGCATTCCATGTTTACAATGAGCCAAGTAAGCACAGCATTTGGTCCCACTCACAAGTGAGAAGCTGGGAAGGAAAGGGTAAAGCAGAAGAAAAGGAAGAATTTAGTCTCAGTATCTGGAAAAGTTTCTAAAGAGATTAAATCTATTCAACTAAGTAGTGATAGCTCTCTCTCTCCCCCTCAAAATAAAAACCCCAAAACCAAACAAGGAACAACCCAACAAACAAAGAAAACCCAAAACTGTCTCCAAGGGGAAAAAAATTACACAAAAAAAAATCTAACCAAACCCAAACCCCAAAGAACCATCAACAACCAAACCTAAACATATCTCTTGCTTACAATATGTGAAGTTCTTCGGTAGGCTTAGTCTGCTCCCACCCTCTGCTTGACTGGACCTGACATTGTTCTGCTTCCATCGTGTTTATAAGCAGGGAAAATCACAGAGCTCATACCTGGGTTGGAAACTAGTAGTTTAAAATAGAAAAGTAATATCTTGAAGCATACAGGAACATTTCTTAAAGATCAGATTAATCATGTACTTAAAAAGACTCTGTGTTTGCCATAATTCAAGAAGAATTTCACAAAAGAAACCAGCAATCATTGTCTTAGAGACAAACCTGAGGAATTTCAAATTCTTCTAATCAATATAGACAGCACAGAGCTATAACAAAAACAGCTGGACTATGGGAACGTGTTCCAGACTCATCATACTATCTGAATTTGGACACAAGGAAATGTTTTTATTATTCACTAACTCAAGTCTGGGAAGAGCAACTTGAAAGTCAATATTTGAGACGGACCCCAAAAAATCCCCAGACACTATTACCTGAAGGTTTTTTGGGAGGATTCAGATCTTGAATATGAACACTCTGCACAGGCAAATGAGACAGGTACAATTAGAAGGAGATGAAAAGATGTTTGAAAGGCCATACAGTTAGACAGTGCTCTCCCAAAACATCACACCAAAAGAGTGTTAAATGGCAGAAAGATGGATACAGAGAGCAAACATGCCATTCTCATTGTTTTTTAAGTTGAAGTACTGTTTTCAAAAATGCTCCAGAAACCATATTCTATTTTTTCTCTTCAAAATTAAAAAATAAGAAATCAGTCATTTGATGTAACTGTCTCTTGGGAGGAGTAATGGAAAAATTGCTCCATGGTCACACAGAGCTATCTTTGTATTAGTGTAAACTGGACTCTCCTATTTGTATTATGGCAAATTCACTTTCCTTCAAAAGATTACACAACACCTTCCAAAAAAATGCACAAAGGCCAACTTCTACTCAGAGAAATCTTAGTGAAACAAACATATTAATTACTTGCCTACCTACACCCTCCCTCATAGATAAATATGGTCCCATCCCTGTTTTCACAACTGCTTTCTTCTCTGCTTCCACTTACATCTTCTTCCTCCTTGGTGCATTATCCAACCATGTGTTCTCTGGTTAGGTGTCCATATAGATATTTAACCTTCCCCTTGAGACCCTGGCAGACTGTGCAGGTCCCTTTCCCTCTGATCCCTGTAGAACACAGCTCTTCCCAGCCCAGATTTCAAAAACCCATGCCAAGACACATTTTCTTCTGTCTTATCAAGGATATGCTTTGTCAGGGACAATTTTGGTAAAAGCAGATGCAAGTGTAAATTTCCATTAAATATACCTCAAGAGTACAAGAACCAGTTATATAATATACTCTTATAATTTTCTAATATGGTCCCCTCCTCTGCACCATCCATAGATATAAATAGATTATCACTGATTTTGTCCACTTCTTTTCTTGCAGGACTAACCTTTCTTAGGAAACCTCTGCTACATGAAAAATGAAAAAAGAAATTATTTTTTGTTCTTTCTCCTAAAGGAAAGCTTCTGCTTTCCTTTCTCCTAAATCCTCCTGCCATTTCAATGTTTAGTTTTGCACTGTGGTAGTCAATGGATGTTGACTACCACAGTGCAAAACTAAACAAGAGAACATAAGGGAGTTCCTGGGACTTCAAACACTACCCTGCACTTCCATAATGTTGTTCAGGTATCCAATTTCTCCTCCAATTTACTTCCTCAGGTATCCAATTATCTCCTCCATTGAAACAGAGAGAGAATCTGACTTCCATTCACAAAGTTTTCAAACCTAGCACATTCCTCAGGTTTCTCTCATTCACACAGGCCTGGAAGTACATTACCCATCCTTAGACTCCTCAGAAGGAAAATATTAAACCAAGAAGATTCAGTTAATTACAGTTTTATGTTACGTCTTTAACATAAAAGGCAAGAACATTGAGCTAAGTGCAGGAATGAAAAGTCTCAAGCAGATCAAACAGGAAAAGACAAGACCTCTGATCCTCTAGTGACTCCTCCTTTTCAGCACCAAACTAATATTTAAGTAACAAAGTCAAGTACTCAAAAGTTTACTTGCTTACCTCAACTGGTTCTCTGTGGGTTAGATCACAAAAAATGGAGATTCCAACAAGATAGTACCACAGCACATCTGGGGGCAAAGCAGAGCTTTTCTGGTCGTCTTTTAATAGTTCCCAGACCAGCAAGTACAACAAAAGTATGAGAAGAAAAGAGGAAGAAGAGGAAGAAGAGCAGGAGACAAGATTTTACATTCTGTTTCCAAATACAAATATGCTTTTGTTGAGATTTGGGCTTGGTCCCAATTCACCTATCATTCCTGATTATTTTGACAAGCAAAAGCCAAGGTGCCACAACTCCTTGCTGTTCTAATTTAAAGCAGGAAGAATGTGCAAAGAATAACATTAACAAACAAAATCCTGTCTTCACTTTGAAAGCATAACAATGCCATGTGGAGCTCTCCAAGAGTAAGGACTTACTCACAGTACACTTGATCTGCTTTTTCTCAGAAAATTTCTGGTTGATACTGTGCATTTCAGCAATGCTTTTCAATTTTTTGTGAAGTGTCTTTCTCATAAAATATGCTATATAAACATTAATTATAACTTTCATTCTCTTATGGGTGACTCAATTATTGGACTCTTTTTCTTGCAAATATCATGGGATCTCCTCTAAAGGCCTTAGGAAAAAAGAGATGCCAGAGAACATTCTTTCATATGTGCTGTTTATAGAAGAAAAAGAAGACAAAAGAAAATTGTAACTCTACTTCCTAGAAGTCTGTAATTACTTTTTTCCAATATTCCATTCTCGTTTTGGTAAGCAAATATTTGAGCTCTCACACTATCAAAAATGCAGGGTTCACACACTAGTCCATTAGTCAAATGTAAGACATAGACATATTCATTTCATAGCATAAAAGACAAAGACAGGATAAGGACATTCTAGTGTCCTTATCCCAAACTGATTTCCAGATTTCCAAATTAATGGGATCTGAGACAAAGAGAAAAGAAGAAATTCAGTGAAAAGGAGTGGACAGAACATGTTCTTGTGACATGTTTTACATAGTTCAAACTCTTTCTGCACTCACTCATTTGACACTCATAATTTCAGACAGTGGCTCGTCTTTTTTAACAGGCAGTGTATTTCACCAAAATTCTGTACAACATGGAGTGAAATAAAAAAATTCCATTTATTTCTCTATTAAGTACTGACTTAACTTATTGTTCCCTTTGTAATGCAAATAACCTGCTACACTCAGTTCTGCAGTTTTGATAACATTATCATGACCTGCCACATGAAGAACCAACACAATTCCAGGTTTTTCACAGTGCCACTCCTCTCTGTTACCAAGACTTTGTATTATTTTATTTGGGGCTTATTTTTCCTTTTAAAATTAATTTTTAACCATCAGGTTTTGACTGACTCCAAGGAAGGACTCTGCAGAGTGTCACTAGGCTCCTGGTATCATCCACACAGGGGAAAAACATTTTTCCCTTATAAGCAGTCTAAACCTCCCTTGTTTAAGCTCATGCTTGTTTTTTCTCCTGCTCCCACCACACAGCAATGTGAGGAGCCTGTCTCCATGTTCTTGGCCACCTCTTGGGAGACACTGTAAGGGCTGCTGTTAGGTTCCCTTGTCCCATCTGAGCAAGTCTCTGACCATCTTGATTGCCCTTCTCTAGACTTGCTCCAGTTTATTGTTGTCCTGAATTTGGGGGTGTGGTGAGAGACCAACACTGGATGCTGCCTAGCTGTGTAATTCACCAAGTGATGAGTAGTGGGGGGAAATTACTTCCCTCAATCTCCTGGCCATGCTCCTGTTCATACAGCCCTGGACACTGCTGACCTGCCTTGCTGCCAGGAC